TGATGTCCAAGGCGTGAGGAGGGAGGGGAAGGTCTCTCTCTCTCTCTCTCTGTAAGATGGTGGTGTTGATTCCACTTCACCGTTGCAGTTCTATTCTTCTCCCACTACAGTATACAGAGTGTATCCCACTTCTTGCAGTTAGACTAGTTTCAGTACGCTAGGTAGCACGTTTTTAACGTGCTTACGCTTGATTACACTTGTTAGCACGTTTTGAAGAGCTTTGTTAACACGGTTTAATACACTAGGAAATTATTGCCGGCACGTTTTATTACGCTGGTTGGCACGTTTTTATTTTAGAAAGTACGTTTTCTTTTCGCTCGTTTGTAAGTTTTAATCCGCTAGGTAGACGCTTTAATTTACTTTTCAGAAATTAATTTGTTCGTTTTTAAGAAATTAGTGTTGTACGAGCAGTACAATACAGAAGAAATTGAACACAATGTGTGTATATTCTCTCTCCCCCCGCTCCTTACTGTACTGCAGGGACCTCTCTAAACAAAATCTGGTCTGTACGACGATTAGAAAGCGCCTTTTTAATTTTAAAGCACGTTCATGCATATTTTTAATGTTTTTTTAAATGTATGCAATATTTATTAAAGGTTTAAAGAGGATCTTCAAATTATGTAATTTTAATTTGAAGGCAAACTTCATCAAGTGACTTCTTTGCACATTTTTTGGTAACATTTTTTCTTTGAAAAAAGAAGAAAGACACTCTTAGTCATTCTAATTACTATAATAGCTTTAATGAAAACTGTTAAACATTCGATTTATTAAAAAAAACAATTTATTTCAGATAAAAATGAAAACATTTGTGGCCCTTCTGGCATTAAGTTCTGTTGTTTCGGCAAAAATTACGCAGAAATATATCGGAAAATTAAGGTAACATTTATTCCTGGTAATTTATTCATTTTTAATTTTTTTACTTTTTTAATTTTTAAATTTGCTCCAATTTGTATTAATTTGTTTTTTCTTGATTATCTTTTTCAATTTTCTCAAATTTTCATTTAAATCTCAAGTGAACCTCAATTAAAAATGTCTGATTTGCAACCTTAATCTGGTCAATAATGAGGAAAATATTTTATCTAGCATGGAAAGGTGTTAATTCTGATAAATTCTCTATCATTTCGCTAGTTTAGAGAAACAACAAATGAAAACAATCAGTTGTCATTACAAAATACAGCTATATAATTCAGACAAAGAATTATAGCAATCGTTGAAAATCGGACATGCCACTCTAATTATGGAGGGTCACTTAGAATTTTAATAAACTACATATTTATTTTCTTAAAAACTTTCAATTGTTAATGAGTTGCTAAGCTATTTTTTTAAAATTCGTCTTTTAAAATAATTTGTTATTTATCTATAAATGTGCTTTCTATCTCCAACTATCTATCTATCTATCTATCTATCTATCAATATAAATGTTTAGTACCCTGCAGCATGACGTATCTGGAGATGTCTACGCCAAGGATGAAAACACATTAGTTATTGAAAACTTTAAGGTGAACACTCCCTTTAATGATTAATAAGATTGCACATGCAGGAAAATAAAAGCAATTATTTTGACTGAGCAGACTGTAAAGTGCCCCCAGGCCTTTGCCTTTGCTATTTTTTTTTCATCGCTGGGTTTGAAGTTTCAAAGTTTCAACACGCTGGTTTTTGATGATATCCAAAAATACCCAGTTTAGGATAAAAAAAAAATAATTTCCATTTTAGGATGTTATCCAAAATATCCATTTTAGGATGTTATCCAAAAATATCCAGTTTTAAGATGATATCCAAAAAATATTCTGTATATTTTTAAATGTATCTAATTTTGTTGATATCCATAAATATTTAGTGTATGATATCTTGATTTTTCCAAAAATCTCCAAAAATTCATGATTATATATATAAAAATAGTAATTAACAGCAAATGACGATGCTATAAATAAGGAAACCTCCTGGGAATGACTTTTAAACTTTCAAATAAAGAAAACAAGAACTGTTTGTCTATCTATCTATCTATCTACTTTCTNCTTTTTATCCTTCTATCTATCTATCTATCTAGTATGATGGAGCTGGTCCTGATGCCTTCTTCTGGGTTGGTAAGACTGGAACCCCCGCCGCCACCGACACCGCCATGACCCTCATCCTCGCCCACCCATACGAGGTAAACAATAACTTCGATTTTTTTCTTCAGTTTTCTTAAAAACAAAATAAGAGAAATTTAAGAATTTGCTTGTTTTTGTTTTTTGATTAAAACTGAAAATGTCATGGATCCTATTTTACGGTTTTTTAATTAAGATTCTTGGCAACAAAAATATTTTCATCAAAACATTTTATTTTTCACAAAACAAGATTTCACTGTTAGATGGAAAGCTAAAAATGTAGGTTTTATAAGTGTGTAATGTAAAAAAAATATGTTTTTTTGCAATTTGTATTTATAATAATGTTGTTGAAACCTTAACATTTTCTTCGAAATCATGAACAGAATGTTCGATATTAAGAACAGAATGTTCGAAATTAAGAACAGAATGTTCAAAATCATAAACAGAATGTTCGAATAAAGAACAGAATGTTCGAAATTTAGAACAGAATGTTCAAATTTAAGGACAGAATGTTTAAAATTAAGAACAGAATGTTCGAAATTAAGAACAGAATGTTCGAATCTAAGAACAGAATGTTCAAAATTAAGAATAGAATGTTTGAAATTAGGAACAGTATGTTTGAAATTAGGAACAGAATGTTTGAAATTAGGAACAGAATGTTCGAAATAAAGAACAGAATGTTCGAAATTTAGAACAGAATGTTTGAAATTAAGAACAGAATGTTCGAATCTGAGAACAGAATGTTCGAATCCAACAACAGAATGTTCGAAATTAAGAACAAAATGTTCGAAATTAAGAACTAAATGATCGAAATTAAGAACAGAATGTCTGAAATTAAGAACAGAATGTTCGAAATTAAGAACAGAATGTTCGAATCT